ATTCAGGTAAACTGGGTCGGTGGAAGATGTGAAAAGACCATTGCGTGCTCGTTTACGACGTTCAGCTGAAAACATTTCTGCAGTGCATCTATTCGTCAGCGCGCGCAGGAACTGGACCTCTCCACAACAACGTTATATCGAATTTTGACAAAAGATTTGTCTCTAGACGCTTACAAAATTCAATTGACACAAGAACTGAAACCCGCTGACCATTTGGAACGCCGTACATTCGTCAATAAAGACGAGCCGATGAAGATTTTTCGCAAAAAATCCTCTTTAATGATGAAACCCATTTTCATCTTGGTGGATTCATTAATAAGCAGAATTGTCGCATTTGGGCTGATGAAAATCCAAGTAAGATTGTTAAAAAAGGCCACTGCATCCACAAAAGGTCACTGTTTGATTTTTTGCTAGCGGAATCATTGGACTGTATATTTATAAATTTAAACGTCCATTTTCGTAATAGGCTTCGATAACTTTAACACGTTGTTTGATTGTTAATTTTCCATGGTTGTAATTGCCAAAGTCTTAAGTTGTTAAATCTGAAAGAAAAAGAAAAAGCATTAGATGCTTAAACTTAATTCACATTTAAAATCCGTCCAAGTTATTGGAACACCATATACTTATCTTTGACCTCCAAAATTCATCCTTCATACTACATAGTCATAGTCTTTGCTAATTATCATTTATTAGTAATATTGTTATCTTTCCTTAGTTGATGTTTTATATGTAATAATAGTAGATATATTAGTTCTAAATAATGCAAATTTGTAAGCGTTTTAACAGATGTCGGAACGTGAGACACCGAAATCCGAAGTTGCATTGTGATAGCGAAAGATGCCTTTCAAAAGTTAAACAAAGAATTAAGAAAAAGGGACAAAAGAGTGTTATGTAATATCAATACTTTATATGACAGTGAATGCTGAACAATTCCCTTGGAGTTGAAGAGGAAATTGAGATATGGTTCTACAGAAAGTTTTTGAGAATGCCATGGATGCAACATGTGAGCAATGAGGAAGATTTAAGGAAAAAGGAAACAAGGATGATACTTAGAATCAGAAAGAGACGGTTGATATTTCTGGGTCATATAAAGAGGAAGGTGTGCTTGGAGAATTTGACACTCGCAGGGCAAGAGGAAATATCCGAGTAAGTTATCTAACGAGCTTGTGCAAATTGAAGACAGAACAGGGAGTTGGAAGGATAATAAAAACAAACGTTGCTAAGAGCAACAAAGGATAGGAAGTTGTGGAGGTCAATAATTTCCTGTGCCCCCGAAGAGACACGGTACATAAAAGAAAAGGTTGAAGCAGTGTTACTTTTTATGGTTTTTCATATGGTAATTTTTCATTTAATCTCTATTGTTATTACTGGATAAAAACATCAAAAATAAGAAAAAAAAAAGATATAATTAATTGAAAAATGCAACATAAAAAGATGAATAAATGCTTGCAAATTTATTCGCCAATAAATCAAAAACAAAATTAACATGATAGAAATATTAGTAAACATTAACTGTTAAAAACATCGAGAAACAAAATGTAATGTTCATTGATAAAAAAGATGAAATACTAGTAAAGTATCCATTGATAAAACGAAACAGAAATAAAATGAAATAAATACGAGTCAAAAATCTCTTGAGACAAATAAACAGAAAAAAGTTTAAAGAAATATCGATAAAAATTCATTGATAATTAGGAAAAAAATTAAGATTAATTAATAGTAAAGACTCATAAATAAAAGTTTAAAAATTTTTTTTTAAATAAAAAATGGCGAAAAGGTGATGAAAAAATCACAGTTAAATATTTATCGATAAAAAGAAACAGAAACACGTGCAAGGAATACTGGTAAGAATACATCAACAGGAAAAAAGAAAGAAAAAAAGAGAAAAAATAATACTAATGAAAACCATCGATAAAAAGAAACAGAAACATGTGCAAGGAATACTGGTAAGAATACATCAACAGTAAAAAAAAAAGAAGAGAAAAATAATACTAATAAAAAACCATCGATAAAAAGAAACAGAAAAAGAAACAGAAAAAGAAACTCGTAAAAAATTATCAATAAAAACCGAAATAAGAAAGAAATACTTGTAAATATTACATTGATAAAAAGAAACAAAACGAGGAAATAATTTCCACTTAAAATTAAGCATAAAGAAGTTAAAAAGAAACATAAATAAAAGAAAAGTAACCTAAATAAAAAGATTTATTGATAAAAAAGAAACAGAAACAAGAGTAAAAAAAACAAGGAAAAAATGCATCAATAAGAAAAAAAAATAATAGAAAAATCCTAATAAAATACTAATAAAAATCACCGATGAAAAGAAACAGTAAATGCGGAAATAAATACTAATAACAATTTGTCAATAAAAAATCTCCTGAAGAAGGCCAGAGCGTACAACGGCCGAAACATCGTAATAAGGTGACAAAGATGAGGACAACAGTTCTAATAATGTAAATAATGTACATAATACCTCAACTCAGAAATATAGACAGATACTGGAAGGCCGAAACGTTGTGATAAATATGGCGACAAAAATGAGGACAATAGTCCGAATAATGTAAATAATGTACATAATACCCCATCTTAGAAATATAGACAGATACTAAAAAAATATATTTAACCAATCGATTATAGTCGAGATTATAAACCGTGTAAATTCGACTATGCTTTCGTTAGCTACATAGTATGTGCAGGACAGCACACGATTTTGAATTTAGAATTTTAATTCTCCTAGACATGTTGCCAGCCACAGATAGAGAGACAGAAGTTAAATACCGAGTTATTTAACCCATAGCTAGGTGGAATTTGCTCTTCTCTCAATTTTTGTACTCTTAAAAAGAGGTTGCTTTTCTGTCGTGGTTTTCCTTCCCTTAGATGATCACGTGTTCCCACGCTAACAAGATCCGTCTGCACGAGTTTTAGGAATTAAGAGTTTTCCTTCTCCTAGATTGGTTCCCAACCATTTATCCTTTCTTTCTTTCTTTCTTTCTTTCTTTCTTTCTTTCTTTCTTTCTTTCTTTAAATGCTTTGTTTTACTCACTAAAACCAAACAGCATCCTTTACAAATCTTTTTCTTCGTAATCAAAACCAACTGGTCCTTTTATTTATCTGAGATGATGGCTGGGAGTAATGCATGTGCTAACATACTAACTAACAAAGGGACATGCACAATTGTTATGTGATATTTTATAAGGATAATAACAATTAAAACTCAATTCTTTTTGTGCGTGTCTGTGTTACATGGTTTTCAATTTTTACGAAGGCCGGTCTGTTGAAGGAAATTCTAAACAAACCGACGGAGATTAGTAAAACACTTAAATCAAAAACACATTTCGATCATAAAATATCATGATGAACTCGAAAATTTGTCTAAACTGCCTCAATGGGTCCTCATCAACTGAATGCCTCTCGGGTTAATCAAAGATTTGCACTCTACTCATCACTGAAGTCTAGACTTGCTGCCGAACTTTATCCTGGTAGAACTATCGACGTTAATAAAAACATATCCAACGAAAATGGCGCTTACTAAGAAAAAGAGAACCCCAAACCAGTAATACATTCGAAAAAAAGTGATGCCATGAATTTTGTGGAATAAAAAGGGTTTCGTTTAACATAGGTACCTCCACGAGATCGTTAAAAAAAGAGCATAGCATGATGAAAAAGACGCCAAACTTGACGAAAACAAAATTTTATCGTCTAAATGTTTATGTTATTATGAAGAGGAAAGTTCAAAGTAATTTGGTTTTTTTTTTACATTTTTTAATAGTTCTTAGCACGTTCTTAAAATAAGTTTTGAAAAAATAATAATTGATATTTAAAAGAATTTCAAAGTGAGATTTCCAGTTTTTTTTATAAAATGGAAAAAAAAAATGGTTAATTTTGCTGACTCAAAAAAAAAAAACAAGATTTTTAACGAAAATTTCGGACGTGCGAAGAACGATTAAAAATGTAAAAAAATACCGCCAAAATACTTTGATCTTTCCTCTTAATAATAACATAAACATTTAGACAATAAATTTTTGTTTTCAGCAAGGATGGCGTCTTTTTCATCAAGCTATGCTCTTTTTTAAGCGATTTCGTGGAGGTATCTAGTCTAACATAAAGTCTGAAACTAAAACGTAACAATCAATGTGAATCATTGACGTAAATTGAGAAGTATTTGTTTTCATTATCCCCCCCTCAAGCAATGTGATAATGCCACTAAGACGCAAGGGGTTGCTGGGAGTGAAAGAGAATGGGAAGAATTTAGATAGAACCAGAAACTCAATCCTAAGTAGGAAACAAGAGATAAACAGGGATAGACAGGGAAGGAGTGTGATATGGCGATAAGTAAAACAATTAAGTTTTACACTAATCTGCAGAAAATGTACCCATATTTATTAATCGTAAAGAAATGATTTTTGGCATGACCATACACTGACTGAGTCACTCAAAAAATATATGGTCCTAAATATTGAAAATTTGCTTCATCCTTTTTAATCTCCTCTCATCCAAATATCATCTTTTCAGATCATTGCAATGTGTTTTTTTTTTCTTTTATAGAGAAATAGATGATAAACTGTGAAGAGGTTAAAAAAGGGATGCAGAATGTTTCTTTGCATCGAAACTGGAAGAATGTTATCTCTATTTGCCAATTATCGATAATTAAAAGAAATATTATCTTGATCATCAAAGAGAACGATTTTTGTCTTCTATCAGCATGGTTGATGCTAACCTCCAGGTTTCTTAGTCACAAGTTTTTCCACTGACATGGAGTGAATTAGTTGATTAATGTTCTATGGCTTATCAACCCTGTACAGGTTATTTAAATCCAGAAAATATTTTTAGATACAATTTTGATACAAGTCTTAAGAATTAATCCTTATTTTTGGAGAGAAAAAGTGGATTTCAAGGTTTTTTGCGCTTTAGTGAATACAACGCTCCCAGCTGGAATTGGAACTCGGCTCTCCGATTAACAAATCCGAGCCATTATCCATTACACCAACTACCCATTCAAGCTTACAGCACCTGGCATTCTAAAGCGGTCACCCATCTAGGTACTGACCAGGCTCAAATTTGTTTAACTTCGGTGATCGAACGGGAACCGGTCTTTTAACGTGATCTGGCCGTCTGCCGACATGAAGTGTAGTGATTATTTTGAATTAATTGGTTGGTCTAATGCTAGCAATGTTCTTTCACTGTGTCGTGACAGACAATTTTTCTCGTTACAATCCATCTTATACACTTATAAATCTACCATTTGTTCGTGCATTGAATATTGCCCGTCATATCTGGTCTGGTGCTCCTGCTAGATATCTCGAGATTATCGACAAAATCCACAGAAGGGTCTGTTATGTTATCGGTCCTGATCTGGCATCTCGACTTCAGTCATTTTCCCACCGACCTGATTTTGTTCTATAAATAATTTCATGACAATTGTTGTAACAAGTTCACCAACCTTTACCTCGACTGCATGAATATAATCGTACTACAAGATTGACAATTAGGTCCCATCTTTTTAATGTTGATGATGTAATGAATATGCATACACCTGGGTTCCCTCTCATAGTAATACGATTGGCTGGTGTCAGCCATAAATACAGACTGATGTGGAGGTACATGGGTTATGCCTATTGTCTACGCTTATTGCCTACGCCTATTGCCTACCACTACGACGAGTACCAGTCCATTATGGCTACCTGCTAGATTATCCTGACCGGTTACAGTAGCCAAAACCACTTAGCTACTTCGAACAAATATATCCCTTTCCGGGACATATCAGTTGAAATAGCTATTTGTAACCGTAAGTTCTATTCTAATAGTTTCTATTCTCGCACTTCCAACGAGTGGAACTCTCTTGCTCCCTGCGTCCTGGGCAAGACGATAAACTACATCTAACAGCAAGGCCTCAGATCAGGAGGTTTTGAGGAACGTGAAACCACCTCTTAATTACTGGTGTTCTCAGGTGCACCCTGATACGGTGTGGTAGCACCTGTTATGCTTCCAGCTATGGGTAAAACATTGACCCCCACAAACTGGGATCAAGAAACTATGAAAGTGTTAAAATAGGTTTTAATACCAGCAATACATTTGTGGAAAAGTTAATTACCAGCAATAAATGTTTGAAGGAAAAATTATTACCAGCAATACATTTTTGGGAAAAAAAAATTACTAACAATAAAAATTGTGTCAGCATTAAATAACCCATAGAGGTTGATATGCCGTAAAACAAACCAAACAAAACTTGCTTCTCTGCCATCTACAATCTTCAAAAAATGAAATGCAACGTCTATCGCTATCTTTTGACTTCATGAATTGCCCTCTCTCCGTCTTAAATTTGTCTAATTCTTTTCGATTCCCCGGAACCCCTTGCATCTTAGTGGCTTTATTGCCCAGCTTCGGAGTGATATGATTAAAAAATAATAATCTCGGGTGGCAGTATAACATTTTATTCCGCTTTTAAAAACGAATGCTTTGTAGGTACGAATAAATATCTATAAAAAAGAAAAAAAGGGAATTACCGTAATGTGGTAGAAAAATATAATAACAATAACGAAGCAATAAAAAAAGATTACCTCTTAAATCTTGATTGTAGGCTTATCTATTGTCTTTGTAGATATAAACAAAAATATATCTATTAATAGCAAAGAAGCATTTGTTATTTTTCCATGCTCAAATGTGACAAGACTTTCTTTCTAACCTAAAATTTACTACCGAACGCTAGTCCTGGGTAAGACGATAAACTACAGCCGGCAGCAAAACCTTTGATCTGGAGAGTGAAGATACTGAGGATAATGGAACCATCTCTTCATTGCTGTTGTTCCCAGGTGCACCCTCACCCAAGGTGTTAGCATCTGTAAGGGTCCCAGCTATGGGCAAATAGAGAACCCCCAACACTATGGAAGTATAAAACTACATTTTTATAGTAAAAAATACCAGCAATAATTTTTTATATAAAAATACCAACAATACATATTTGTAGTGAGATTACCACCAATACCTATCTATATTAAAATTGCCAGCAATATCTATTTATAGTAAAATTACCAGCAATACCTATTTATTGTAAAATTACCAACAATACTTATTTATAGTAACAGAACCAGCGCTATATATTATCTTTAGTTGAAGGCATACAACTGTGTTCAAAATACTTAGTTTTCGGCATTAAATAACCCATAGAGGTGTTGATATGCCGCTAAACAAAATCAACCAGCCAAACAACCGAACGCCCAGGCGCAGTAGTTAATGAAATCTCTTGAAATGCGATGCCAGGAAAGAAGGTGTTAAATCTTGTCTCGAATAAACAAAAAAAAAAAAAAAATGTAATTTTATGGTAAAACTGTTTGACTGTATTGGCCAGGTTTTATGTTGAAATCCTTGCAATGCGTGATTAAATTTCACCGTCTGATTGATCCGAAGGTCTTGCAACAATTATAATGATCTCTCCAACATAATTTTCTTTTTTTTTAATTCTTTTTCACGATATGGACCCCCAGCGTTCAGGTATAACTTACTGAAGTAATTCGACTCTCTTTATTAGTTACTCTATCTATCTATCTATCTATCTATCTATCTATCTATCTACACACACACACACACACACACACACATATATATATATATATATATATATATATATGGCAGAAACGTCCTCGGCTAAGCCAAAGACTCAGAAATTATATTTTTAAAACTCTTCTTGATCATAGTGACTCTCTCTTCCTCTCTCTCTCTCTCTCTCTCTATATATATATATATATATATATATATATAAATAAAAAGAAAAAATATGTCTCTGAGGGGCTTTATCAAGACATTTGACTTGATAAAGTCCCTCAGAGGACGAAATGAGTGAGCTAAGAATAGCTTTCTTTTAGTCTTATTTATTTTGTTCCTTTACATATACACTTTATACGAAAACAATTTGCGCGCACACACACATAGACACACACAGAGACACAGAGACAAACAAACGCACATATGTGTGTGTGTGTGTGTGTGTGTGTGTGTGTGTGTGTGTGTGTGTGTGTGTGTGTGTGTGTGTGTTGTCGTAAGTTTCATTGAAAACAACTGACTAAATGTGGTGGTTGTGTTTTTGATATAATTTTTCATGTGTTTGTATAATTTTTCTATTTAGGGCATTAATTATATAAAAATTGTCCGTATGTTTCCCAAGAGCTTTCCGCTATAATTTTAACCATTATCAAGGATTAATTTTATTTTTAACTCAATATAGGCATATATATCCCGAAAAGAAAAAAATGTACGAACACATGTGAAATTATATAAAAAAACTCCACACTTTGTCATTCGTTTTCAACGAAACTTGCATAAAAGATGGATTGCTGCCCAAATATACAATATATATATATTTAATTTCGATAAACGTGCAATCAATTTACAAATTCATGAATTATTCACACAAAAACAAATGCAAAGGTTAATGATTTAATTGGCGAGAAATCCATCGTCGCAAACAATTCAAATAATATACAAAAACCTCCGAACCTATTATGAATGAAAAGATCCTTGTTTCTATAAATTTCTGCTGCATTAGTTCTTATTTTTACTACAAGCTTTCGTCTGTTCCTACAGACATCTTCAGGTATGGAATAGATGTTGTTCTTGTTTTTTCTCTCAGTAATAACAATAACTCATTTTCAATAGCATTTTCGGATACAACAATACATATATTTTCGTTGTCCTCTTATTACTTTGTAATGAATAATTCATATATATATATATATATATATATATATATATATATATATATATATATATATATATATATATATATATATCCAGGGTAAAGATGAGAACGGAGAGTACAATTACAACGTTCATACAATTAATTTAAATGAGTGCTCAATAAAGAGTAAAGCAATATTATTTATTTTAGGATATTAAAACAACATGTAAAAATCGCTACACAACAGACACAGTGGTATGTGCTTTGAAACACGACTGCAATTGTGTAGCGATTTTTACATTTTTTATCTAAAATATATATATATATATATATATATATATATATATATATATATATATATATATATATATATAAATAAGAGAGATAGAATGGGGAGAGAAAGAGAGAGAACGATAGATGAGACATTTATAAATTCCTTTTTTTGTCTCGCATTTCCATCCTCCAGGTTCCCCCTCTCTTTCCTCTCTCTCTCTCTCTCTCTCTCTCTCTATGATAGGTAAAAATTGCTATTATTTTTAATTTTTTAAGGTCGATTTGTTATTATTTTAAAGCTGGTTATTTGCTTGTTTTTTATGGCTGCGTATATGTAACTGGTAGAAATTGCGGTTTGTAATACAACTAACATGTTTATACACACACTTTTCATATATATATATATATATATGAATAACGACAATGTGGCAAAAGTTTTCTCTTGACGCGTTTTGTCCTTCAAAACTTCATCGAAATAGATTTATGTCATAATAAATTTACTCTGATGAAGTCCCAAAGGTAGAAACGCTCCTTAAGAAAACTTTTTACACTTTGTCATAAATTTTCCCCATATATATATGTATATATCTATATATATACACACACACACACACGCACACATACACACACACACACACACATACACATATATATATATATCATGAATCATTCATACAAAAAGTAGATTAGTAAAGTTAATGATATAAAATGGCGAAATCTTTTGGCAAACAAAATTTTAAAGTTCCATTAACCTACAAATCACTCGATGAATGTTATGATCCTTGTTTTGAATAATTATGAGTTGTATAAGGTATTTTTTAATATGCAAGTACTTTCAACAGTACATTCAGTCATCCTCAGACATGGAAATTATGTTTTTCGTAAAATACAGGTAGCATCCGAGACGAAAAAATTAAATGCGAATCGAAATATGTTTTTTTTTTTTTTTTTTTTTTTGAAATGTGTTATTGTTAACGGATACAAACTTTTGCAGCGTACAGACGCAACGCTAAGTTTGAAATTTTTTGAAATTTAAGAGGCTGCATTTTTTTACTAATATGCCAAATTTTCGTCTCGGACGCTACCTGGATTTTACTAAAAACAAAATATTTTTTTTGTATGAGTGATTCATTATATATATATATATATATATATATATATATATATAT